GGGGGAAATTGAAAAGAAACATAGATGCTATGCCAAATTGTTGTCTCTTGGATCTATTCTGACTACTGAGAGACTTAAGAATATGTTATTCTTGAAAAAATGGAGTTAGGTTTAGTATTGTTTTGTTTTGGATATAGTCTAGTTATAGCGATATGCTGGACTGCTGGAGTTTGGCATTACCTTGATCTAGTGTCCTCCTCTAACCCCTGCTTAGTTTAATGACTAGTAGCAAGTACAGTTTTAGGTAATTATTGGAATGATGGCAATGACCTATACCTGCTTCTAGATGTTGGATGAAAATTAAATCCCATAGCCTGCAATTCCAAGAAATCTCTCTGTTGGTAATTGTATTAGGTGGGTTAAATGACTCCAGATGGTGGAATATGTATTCCAATTTAATATAGGGGGTGATAATGATGGGTACGGTGGTGCCGGCTGCCGACAACAACAATGGAGAATGGTAGTGATGGTCCAAGTGTGAGGATGAATGAGTCAAATATAATATGAACTATTTTAAACCTGATTCCAAAGATGGCGGCTTTTTCTCTAATCTGCCTATCCTCTTTGATTTTTTAGGTTATAGGTTTTGAGGGGCTTTATGGCATGGGTTTTGAAATGCCTTTTTTTTTTTGGCTATTATACAAGTATGAGCTTGTTGATTCTAATCCCGTACTTATTTTTTGATGTGGTGGAACCAAACTTCCCCTTCGATCATATAGAAAAGACAAGTTTTAGTTGGAAGTGATGGAAATATGGTCGAGGGATAGTAAAGGTCTAAATCTAGAAATGGCTATAAAGGGAGTAAGAACAAGAATACCACACCTGCAAAATCCTCCCGGGACAGTGATAAATCTATTTATAGTACAGTTCAGGTTATTATTATTTTGGTCAATTATGTAGGACAATGTAGGTTATTGCAAGCAATCTTCCTTTTGAATTTATATCATGCACTTGGGATCAAGATTAATTATGCACACTGTGCTCCGAATGAACAAATAGCTCTGAGATTTTAAATATATATAGTTCAACGATTATGAACTATTTTCGATGTTCATAATGTTGAACTATATGCTCATAATATTTGCTTTGAACATACTTGTTATTTTCCTTATTATGAATAATACTTCGAAGATTATGATTTTTTTTTTTCTTCCTATTTTCATAGTTTTGAACTACAGATTCGCAATCTTTGAACTATATGTTCATGGTATATTAAATTAATGTTCATAATATTTGTAACTATTTAAACATATGTTAATAGTCCACGAACAAAATGCTCGAAATTTTGAACTTGTTCATTTGAGGGCATGATGTGCATATCCATCCATGTGCAGGATATAATTTCCATTTAATTTAAGAAGTGTGAAGAAAAAAAATTATTCCTGCAGATCTTTTGTGGGCCAGCCAAATTATGTTTTCACATGAATTATAATTAAGGGTGTACCAACTGAAAAAAGGTTAATCCATGTCCTTGGTTATATATGTCTACCCTCTATTTCTTTCCTGTTGTATGTGACTGTGGTGTATGTATTGATACTATTTGTTTAATGTGTTTAAGACTTTATTTTACTGATTCTCTTTCACATATGCAGGGTTCATAAAGATGATCAAGTGGACCACATGAAAGACTCTGAACTCCAGATGGTAGATAAAAAAATTCCCGGATATATTCTTCAAGAAAAGAGCTTGCACATGCTTAAAAATAGTTGGAACATTTTTTGTCTTTTCAACTTTTTAGCATGTAATACCAAGCCCGCTGGTCATCAGGTAATTCAATTCCTCAGTAACTATTGTGGATCCAAGAATATTGCTGTAGCTTTTTTACACAGCCCTCTTTCATGCGGTGCGATTGCAGGATCTAATTGGTCTCGCCCTCTCAACACTATTGCTAGCAGATTTTAGCTTGGTAGTGCTCACGCTGATTCAGCTATATTCTATTTCACTTCTGGACTTTTTTATGGTTCTTTTTATCCTTCCTCTTGGAATATTACTTCCATTTCCTGCTGGAATAAATGCTTTGTTCAGCAGAGGACCTAGAAAAACTGCTGGTCTTGCACGCATTCATGCTCTTTGGAACATCACTTCTTTTATCAATGTGGTAAGTCTCTACTTTTACAATATGGTTATGATTCACATTATAGGAATTCTATGCTGTGCTCAGGGAAAGTACATCTACTTTGAATGTGGTTTAATTTCTAAACAATGTCAAATGATTGAACATTAGTCAATGTGTTTTGTAAAAGGCATTTTGTTTTTTTACCACATACTGACTTACTGTATGTGTTTATTGTCACATACTGACTTATTGTATGTGTTTATCTGTTTTGGATCAACTTGTGACAAAACCTAATCACTGAATCATATCTTTTACGTTTTTATTGTCTTGCTTATTATATATAAAATCTCTTATGTGTGTGTATACTGAGCAATATCTTGAAGCTTAAAGGTTACATTAATTTGTCGGTGACAGTTCACTGCGTTAATTTGCGGGCTTGTTCATTATAAGATTCAACCAAGCAAGAAACCTGGGGACGTCCATTCTTGGAATTTTAGCAGGCAAGGGTAAATTATACTTCGTATTTATCCTTCAGTCATTGTGGCTCACTTTTTTGTCTATTGTTTTTGACTATATTTTGACTGCAGGCAAGAAAGTGAATGGTGGGTGCTGCCTTCAGGTTTAATTTTGTGCAAGCTTTTTCAAGCCCGACTTATCGATTACCATGTCGCAAACCAGGAGATTCAGGATCTAACATTATACAGCAAGGACCCTGACCAGTTCTGGCAGTCATGATTTTTTTTGTACTGTCGAGGACAATTGGAACCGAGGTCTTTATAATTTTCTTACATTTTTACCGTTCACATTTTGTAAATTGTGATAAGGCTTTAATTTAGAATAGTAGTGAGAAATGTATATCGCCCCTTTGTGTGGGGTGGCCGGGTGGGGGGAAAGGCTCATTTGTAGCAGTTAATTTTTTTTTTCTTTTCTTGTCAATATGCTGTAAATAACATCTTCAATGGTTAAAAGTTTGAAAGATACATGCATTGATGCATACATAGCAAGTGGAAACTTAAGTGATGAGTCTAATGTTCCAAAAACAGCCCTAAATACTCGCATTCTGTTGGAATTTTTTATGTACATCCGGATGTACGGTGCACCCAACTAAGTAAAGGTTAATTTTTGTTTTTAATTTGATGATTTAATAACCAATTACCATCCAAATGACTAAAAACTACACTTGGGTGCACCATACACCTGGGTGTATATAACAATCTCTCGCATTCTGTTAGAATTGAAAGAGATTCGTGGATTTTTTTTTTTTTTTTTTTGAAATCTTTAAAAATTAAAGCAAAATGAAGATTTTCGGGTTTTGGAATGCTCTGTTAAACCTATACACGTTCTTTCGGTAATTTATCCTTTTAAACCAAGAAAATGTTGCTGTCTTATGCCGCAGATTACTTCAAGCTGGTTTACTTTCTTTACCTTGTAGACTTGTATTGCAATACCTCATTCTTTCAACTCAATTTGCTGCTTCACCACATTCAAAACGTTGTAACTGAACTTTGTTTCATCCATTTTGACCTACCCCTTATCTAGCATCGTATTGACTCCTTCGACCTATATACTTCAATTAATCCTACAAACAATAACATTTGAAGGTGTTAGAAAAGTAAAGCAACAACTATAGTGAACTTTATCCTTCCGGCTAATGGTTGCTTCACAAGTTATCAACTAAAACACTGTGGTTGAAAGGTTTCGTTTGGCATCACTGTGGTTCGTTTTTTTGTTTTTCAAAATTATATGATATATGTCATATAATGAATAAAAAAAGTAGTCAAATTTTTTAAACTCATGATAATTTTGAAAACTGACAACAGAAAAGTGAAAACGCCTTTTTCTTGTTTCCTATTTTTAGTTTTTTGTTTTCAGAAAAACAGAAAATTGAAAACAAAAAATAATGTCAAGCAAGCAATTAGTTATCAATTAACTACTATGAAAAGATAATGTATAATGTATGTAAATATAATGTTTCATGAAGGTTAAATATAAACTCTTTGTATTAGAATATGTTATAATTGGGTGGATCCCAATTCCTTCTTTGCAATTCATGAAGATTTTTTGATTGATACATTATTTTTTTCTATGACTCCAAATATTTCTCATACATTAAAATTACTCCGAATAAATCCAAACCATTGAAAGAAAGTAAATCCAAAATTTTGGGCGGTTGGGAGTGACTCAATGCCAACAATAATCTTCGTCAACTTAGTTGAACTTGTGACTATATTTTTATCATATCTAAATATCTACGCAATGCTGACTCAGAATTCTCATACATTAAACATTTTTAATTTCCACCAGCTTATATTTCAACCAATCATGCCTTTTGTAGCCTACTAATTAGCGCGTGAAGTATAAAATATTAATATTGATATTTATATTTGTCATTTTGCCGTTCCTTTATTAATTAATATGATAGATGTCGTACGACTATTTATTAAGATAAAGATTACAAAAATACTATAGTAAATGATATGTACTCCCATTTAACATATATTAAATTAGTGTGTATACCATTAATGATATTTCAATTATGTTATTATCAAATTTATACATTCTACAATAAATTGTAGCAACCTACATAAGAAATCAATTTTGATCTTAAATAAACGGTAAGATATTAGTTTTGATTTTAAATAAAGGATAAGATATCACTAAAAATGAGACAGATGATTCTAATTCGAAAATAAATTAATTGAGATTACAATCCCAAAAAGTACGCGCTTGTGTGGCATGTGGATAAAGCCAGTGCATGCTGCGTTGGTGATGAGTCTGATGACAGCTTGTTGGAAACTTCAATCCATAAAACTATGAGGCTTAAGAAGATTCAAAAACATACTATTTGTTATTAAGGACAATCTAACGCTTGAAATTTTTATCAAGGACACAATTGTACGTTGCTTATGGTAATAAATGTACAATAACCAAAATCTTCAAATTTCAAGCAAGGACTTACTATGTCTCTATATTTGTAACAAGGACTCCACCTTCACTATAAATATCATAACCCTAATCATTTATAGCATATCCATTTTCCATTATCTTTTTGTGTATTCCTCTTTCATTGTATCCAATTTTAAATTTGTGTTTTGTTCTTCAAAGCTTTCTCTGATTCTTCTTTGGTGTGCGCTTCATCGTCTCTAGTTGATTATCAAATATGACTGTAATTGTTGAGAAACCCGTTTTTGGTATGTTAAAATTTTATATTTGGTCTTCTTTTTACCCTTAATTTTTGCAATTGTCCAACTTTTGTGAGTTTCTCTCTTTTCAAAGTATCGAACACGACAAATATTAGCTAATTTAGTTAAATTGTATTTCGTTTGCATCATTATCGTTTTAAATCTCTCTTTAACCTTGAAAAAACCCTACATTAAAATTATTTGTCGATCTTTGACCCTTAGGTATAGGGGATCATAAATCAGGGCAAAATTAGTCTCATGAATTTCATTTAGAATCCAGAAAATTATCAAATCCTTGCGTCATTCACTATTATCAAATTTTCCATTCTTTAAATTTATGATTTTCCTACTAGTTATTTTTTTGGCTGTATTTCGAGTGTTTTTCATAATATATAGCATACCAAAATGCCTAAGATTGGAGATTTCAGCCTTTCATTTTTTATTTATTTTTTATATCGGATAGATAAGGTACTTATATACTACTGTATAGTTTATTAACAATTTGGCCGAATACACCAAATCTCCACTACTTAGATTGACGTTTGTTTTGTATTTTTCTCACCGGCCACAAATTATGTCTCATGTAGCAAAATACTTGTGAATGATTAAAATATATTCCCGTCAACCAAATACGTGCACAGAGATATATTAATATGATTATAATATTGAATTTAAACAGCATAAAAATACGAGACAAATAAAAAAGAGCAGAGGGAGTAGTAAATATCATTTGGTTGCTTAAATTAATGAAATGATTAACTTGTTATGTTAGATGTTAAATCTGATTTCTATCTTGTTCATTTTTTTTGAAAATATTTTGCAATAGAAATCGAAGAAAACATCAAGAACATTAACTTGGATACCAATGAATTGGTACTGGATGCTGGATTTAAAATGCCCGAATCCAAATTGGTTTCAGAAAATGGATTTTCGACTCCCGAAACCAATGCCTTTGGCAACACTTTCAGGTCTTATTTTCCATCTATTTTTATTAATCAAATTATTACGATCAATATTAAAAATTATTAAAATCATTTATACAGTTTATGATAAAAAATAATATTTGAATAATAATTGAGTCATGTTTTAACATGTTCAACGTTGTTTATGTACAGAGACTATGACGCGGAAACTGAAAGGAGAAAGGCTGTTGAAGAATTCTACAAGCAAAACCATATCCACCAAACAGTTGACTTTGTAAGTAATAATTAAATTATGTAAATTCCCTTCTTTCCGCCTCGAGCAATGATAAATATATCTCTTTGAATTGTCCAATTTGTGACACGAAATCATTTTCATATGTCTAGGGACACTTTGGGATTAGTGTAACTAGATAAATACTCATAACAATTTTGATGTTCAAACGTATTGAGTCTTCCAATTATTTATACGGTGTCAATTTTTAGGAGAACAATTAAGCCTATATTGCCTAATACTTTGTAAAAGTTAATCAAGTGTTTATAGTCGAAAAAACGAGAAAATTTTGAAAAAAAAATATGTATAAATTAACAATATAAAAAAAAATGGATTGTAGGTGAAAAAAATGAGGGAGGAATACAGTAAATTGGACAAGGTGGAAATGAGCATATGGGAGTGTTGTGAACTTTTAAACACAGTTGTGGACGAAAGTGACCCTGACTTGGATGAGCCTCAAATTGAGCATTTGCTCCAAACTGCTGAAGCTATCAGGAAGGACTACCCTAATGAAGATTGGCTTCACTTGACTGCCCTTATTCACGGTACGCTAACTTGTACTTTCATACTTAATTCACGTCTATCATACACCCGGGTTTAATCATTAGCAACACGTATATTATAAGACATGTACACCTACATGTGGTACATTGAGGCAAGTAGTGCACACACTTGGACACGTGTATTATTACATTGTCCTCACGTACATACATGTTTGAGGCACATGTTGTATTGAGTGTACTTATCATAGAACGTTAACTCTCAAGTGTACAATAGAAATTGCGTCACTGAATTGATATCTTAACAAAATTGATGTGTATGTTTTCTTAGATCTTGGAAAAGTTCTTGTTCATCCTAGCTTTGGAGAACTTCCTCAATGGGCAGTTGTCGGCGACACGTTCCCTGTTGGATGTGCATTTGATGAATCAATTGTTCACCACAAGGTTAGTTTTAGCTAAATAATCAATCAAATTGATATTTTTATCAACACACATAATTAAATACGCTAACACATTTTTAAACTCGCAATTATTAAACAGTATTTCGAGTTAAATCCAGATCATCACAACCCTGCTTATAACACCAAGTGTGGTATTTACTCTGAAGGATGTGGTTTAGACAATGTTCTGATTTCTTGGGGACATGATGATTATATGTACCTGGTAATTACTATTTTCATTTTAATTACAAAGTTAAATTTTAATTGTAATACTAATTGAAAATAATCTAATTATAATATATTTATTTGTAGGTTGCTAAAGAAAATGGTACGACTCTTCCTCCAGCAGCTCTGTTCATAGTTCGATTTCACTCGTTTTATGGTAAGATTAAATGTCACATAAATTCTTAATTATGCAATTATATAAAGGCTAATTAATGTTGAACTAAATTTTATAATGTTATTTTAATGGCTTTGCAGCTTTGCATAGATCAGGAGCATATATGCATTTGTTGAATGATGAGGATAAGGAGAACTTGAAATGGCTCCATGTTTTCAAGTAATTTAGCGCGATTTTTGTATTAAATTTCATATTATAATCGCTTTGTTTTTTAATTAATTAATTGATTAAATTCGTGTTTTACCATTTATGTGCAGCAAATATGATCTTTACAGCAAGAGCAAAGTTCGAGTTGATGTAGAGAAAGTAAAGCCATACTACCTTTCTCTCATTAACAAGGTATTTCAACCTTACTCTTACCTTATTCTTTTTTCAAATTTGGGTGTTTATGTAACATCGTTTCACTAGAGTTGATCATGTATGATCCGGCCGAGTTGGTCCGATTTGGGTTGCCATTTTCGTGTGGCTAAATTTGCATTGTGTCTGGCCCAAATGGTATCGAGGCCCAATTGTCTTGATCTGATAAGTCATACTTTCCCATCTTCATTCATATTTAGTTGTCATATTATTAGTTTGAGTTACACAATGTGTGTATAAAATGATAAAATTCCGTCAGTCACCTAATAATCTAATGTTTTCCATTGAATTTGAATGCAGTATTTCCCATCCAAGCTGCGATGGTGAACGTCTTCAGAGGGTTGGCTAGTTCATGTCATTGTAATTACAATTGAGGCAAATAAATAAGTTTGGAAACCCGTAATAACTTGAGTTAGCGAGGAGTATGATTAAAACATTTCTTTATCATAGTACAAATATGTAATTGCAATTGTACCTAGGTTTAATTATAATTCTACTCTATGTAGTGATCAATTGCATTATAGTGGGTATGTATCTTGGATCATTCTTTAATAAAATTATCCTTTAAAAGTTATCTTAGTGCGTATCTTTGCCACCTATCTCAACCTTGTTCGCTTAGATACTGGCTTATTTTAGTTATTACGAGTACAATTTTCTGAAATCGCAAATGTTGCAATAACACTACACATACATGTAGGTTCTTGGCGTACTTATTTTAGGATCACTATGCCATTTGTGGTCTCAAGACTCTCAACCAATAATAGTAGCGAAAATCTTCATTGGAGATGAATCATTCTATTTTCCATGCTAGTAAATTTTGTGAAAATGTTGTAAATGTTAACCAAGAAGAAGAATCTTATATTATTACAAGTAACATTTTACAGATAACAAGATTTAATCCAAAATCTTGCATTTATCCATATGAATTATTTGCATTAATCCAAAAAAATGTTGGGTAGTTGAAAATTTGAAATTATTGTGGCAAGATGTATAATTCTTTAATGGGCCTGAGAAAGATTAAAGGCTGTATAGCCCTAGATCTAATTTGTGATCATAAGATCATAACCCAATGGACATATCATTGGGCCATGGACCACAAAATATAGGCTTTTGGACAGTTGAGCTGAGAAATCTTGGCCCATTTACTAATAGAGGCTAAGAATATTTCTGATGCCATATTGCACACTTCTTAATTTAAGGTTTTAAAAAAAAAAAAAAAAAGTAATTTCATGCCATCATTCATCCATCTAACTTCACCACCTATCTATATACTATAAGGAGATTTGAGTTGGCATCAAACTATGGAAATTTTTAGTTAGCATCAAACCATTTCTTAGATCTTTCAAATTTACACTTTCTTCGAATCAAATAAGACTAATGAAATGGGTTATTGATGATCAGCTCTATTTACAATGGATTCAATTAATTATGGAGTATCATATCCACCCATTTTGGTTTCAGTTGATTCATACGTACGTATTTGTAATCTTCTAGCAAGAAAATTCAGCATTGTTACTAAATCCATTTTGATGATCAAAACCAAACTTTACCAATCAAATTCAAAACTAGTTTAACCTTATTAGAGTTGATATTTATTGATCATCAATGATTTTTCTTACTTCACAAGTATTTTGTGTATGAATGTGATACCTTCTACTAATTTAAAATTTTAAATCTTCATTTTATTGACAAGATATGTTTTTGTGCTAGTTAAAAAAGATTTTTATGATTTAATTGAATTACATACTTCCTATATACGTTCTTAATAGTTCGACTCACTTGGTCAATGCTTGGTTTTCAATCCACAATTTTGACTATTAATATATTTGACCATTTATTTATAAGTGAAAGTTATATATAAAACTTAAAACTTCTAAAAATTTATATATTTGAGACAGGCCTAATAAAATCTCTAAGCTAATTGTGTTTCAATTCTTACATTATATAAACTCGTGAAATATGGTTTACGTTATCTAACGCGTGAAAGGATAGAGATAAGGAGTATATATATAGTAACTGTTATGATATTATGAAACTGATCGATGTATGAAGTATATGGAAATGGAAATGGATACTGTTGTTGGATATACTATATATGAGAGCATAAATCTTGTATGTATACGACACTTCCATTTACGTCCATCATAAAGTTATAGTACGGATCATTAGTAAAAGTATCATGAAAATTGAAAATGAGTGGTAAAGATGAATAATGTAACGTGTGAAATGATAAATTTATTGCACTGAAGAAAACATTGCACTATTGATGTTGTAAATTGAACATTGTCAATATTCCACCCACCAATTTGGGATTTTAGATCAAATTTAGGAGAAATTTATAGTACTTTTTAGGATCAATGTTTTGTTTTCTCTATTATAGTACAAGAGAAATGATTACTTGTGTAGTTGTGGGTTCGTGCTCTAATAAAAGAAGCGAAAAATTAATTTTGGAGTGAGAAAATCAATTCCCGTACGGAGTAATAAGGTTAGCAAAATTTAAGTACTCCGTAATTGTGGATTTTTATTAGATTAGATGTCTTTACAGAAATATTTTTATGATACGAAGTGGTATCGTGAGAGATAAGAATTTTTTTTTTTTTTTGACGGAAAGCATAGCATAGCATATATTATTAATTCACCAAATTATCAGAGTCAGTACATAACACCCCTTGGATTTCAGGGGGATACTCTTCTAGCCACACACGGTAAGTGCTAAAAGAGAAACTCAACTTTGCTGAGCTATGGGCAACACAATTTCCCGACCTTTTTACAAAAGAAAAGTCACACCTCCGACATTTTGTTGCTAGATAAAGGATATCCCTTACCACACTTCCAAAATAGCAGAAGGAGAGAAGGCTTTCTTCAAATGATGGAACAAGCTGATATATCGGTTTCCAGAATCAAATTCCTAAATCCCGCTTCCATAGCTGTTATAAGGCTAGAACGCATAGCAACAGCTTCGCCTACTGCCACATCAAAGTTCCCATACATTGTCGAACAGTAAGTCACCACAACGTCTCCCTCCTCATCCCTCAAGATCCCTCCAATTCCCATCCTCGATTCTTGAAAGGCTACATCAGAGTTCAATTTATACAAGCCAGCAGAGGGGACCTTCCATTTTGATCTGTCCTTCTGCTCGTGAATCTCTCCTTCACCAGAAGCATTGACAGCTTCGAATTCTCCCACTAAGCACATTGCTTTGTGAATGGTGTCTTCTTCTGATTTCGCAGCTCTATCAAACACCCATGAATTGCGCTTCAGCCATATTCCCCACGCCAGGCACCAGAAAATGTCCCACCACTTCTTTTCCTTTATCTTCCCATACACCCGATTGCACCATTCTCGAAACTCATTAGCAGCAAAAGCCTTTGTGTCAAGCCGTAATACCGAGTACCTCCATATAGAGGAAACAGCCGGGCAGAAAAGAATCGGATAGGCTGTATTTTCTTCATCCTCCCCACACATAGGGCACCGTTGATCAACACTCAAACCCCTGGCCAGCAACCGGCTCATCACGGTTAAACCCTCCCTCACACATCTCCACGCAAACAGTTTTATTTTTGGTGGGATACAGGCATGCCAAATATGCTTCCAGTTAAAGTCTACATTACATTCTGATGAGGTAGCCTTCTTCCGAGTCTCTTCTTCAATCAAAAAGTTGTAGGCACTTTTGACACTATACAACCCATCTTTCGTATGGTGCCATGACCAGGAATCCTCTTCGTTCAAAATAGGAACTGGAATGCTGCAAATTGCATCAATTTCTCGCTGGGAAAATAATTCCCTCAGGGTAGGTAAATTCCACCTCTGATTTTCCCACAAATCCTTCACAAACATCGGCCCATCACTACCTTCCCTCCTTTGAGTCATGATTCTGAAATTTAGGAGTTTTGGCACCCACGGGTCTTCCCAAATGCACACTACTCCTTCCTCCAATTGTTCTTATAGCACCCTTCTCAATTACCTCCCTAGTACTTAAAATCGATCTCCACGTGAAACTCATGTTCGGGACAGCTTTTGCATCAAAGAACGTTGAGGTTGGAAAATACTTACTCTTAAGGACCCGAGTCATAAGAGCCTTTTCATTAGTCACAATTCTCCACGCTTGTTTTACTAACAAAGCTATGTTAAAAAATCTCATATTTCTAAACCCCAACCCTCCCAGGTTTTTTGCTCGAATCATTTTTTCCTACCCAATCCAACTCATCTTCCGTTCCTCCCCTTTTTGTCCTTAAAAGAAACCCCTACACATTTTTTCTATTTCATTTAATATGCCGACGGGGATAGAGAAACATTGCATAGCATAAGAGGGGATAGCCTGTGCCACAGATTTTATGAGAATTTCCCTCCCTGCTTGAGAGAGGTACCTTCCTTTCCAACCTTGAGCTTCTTCCAAACCCTATCTTGAATATTCTGGAAAATATGTTTCTTAGAGATTCCAATGTACGTCGGAAGACCTAAGTACTTGTCATGTCCCTCGACAGCCTTAAAATCGAACTTCATCTGAAGCATGTTTTTCTTCTCAGGGTCGACATTTCGGCTAAAAGACACTTCTGATTTTTCCATATTCAATTTCTGGCCGACGCCATCTCATAGGTTGTCAGTAAATCAAGCACTTTGTCAGCTTCATCCTCATTTGCTCGTACAAACAAGAGACTATCATCAGCAAAAAATAAATGGGAAATTGATTCAACATGCCTTCTAATCTTAACACCATGGATATACTTTTTCTTTTCCGCCTCTCGGAGTAAAGTAGATAAGCCTTCCACGCACATAATGAATAAGAAAGGAGATAGTGGATCTCCCTGTCTCAAACCTCTGCTTGGAGTAAAAGCCCGAGATGGCTGCCCATTCACAAGAACGTCAAAGGAGGCCGATGACACACATCTCATAATATTCTTCACATAAAACTCTGGAAAGCTAAATTTCATCATCATTTTTTCTAGGAAAACCCATTCAACTCTGTCATATGCTTTGCTCATATCCAGTTTTAGCCCCATATATCCTTTCTTCCCTGTCTTTTTTTTCCGCAAAAAATGGAAACACTCATAGGCTACTAGAATGTTATCTTTAATTAGTCTACCGGGAACAAAGCCACTCTGGTTTTCACTAATAATAAATGGCAGAATTTTTTTTAGTCTATTAGCTAAGACCTTCGACACAATTTTATAGAGTACATTACACAGACTAATAGGTCTATAATCAACAGGAGACTCACATTCTTTTTTTTTTACGGAATTAAAACAATATTCGTCTGATTAATAGAACCTATGTCACCACCATTATTCAAAATATTTAGAGTACTCTCCACTACATCTCTACCGACAACATTCCAGAATTTTTGAAAAAAGATAGCAAACATACCATCAGGCCCAGGAGCCTTAGTAGGGTGCATCTGGAAAAGAGCCTCACGCACCTCCTCACCTACAAACGGAGCCTCAAGATCTGCACATTGAGCTTCTGAAATCACAGAGTCCACTTTCTCAATCACCGTCTCCACATCACAATGTCCTCCTGAAGAAAATAATTCATCAAAATGACGCACAAACACCTTTGAAATTTGCTCTTCATCTCTGAATAAATTCCCAGTCGCATCCTTCACTTCTCTGATGTGGTTTCTTGATTTTCTCTGGCTAGCTTTTGTATGGAAAAAAGTCGTGTTTTTATCGCCATTTTTTAGCCAATCTTGCCTACTTCGTTGCCTCCAATAGGCCTCCTCCCTCCTTTCAAACTCATCCATTCTGTCATCCAGAGCCCGAGTTTGAGCAATAATCTCCTCTGTCTGTTGTTCCCCCATGAGACTCTCCATCATGCTTCTACATTCCTTCATTTTTTTTTCTAAAATCACCGAATTTATTCCTACTCCAAGCACTCAGGTTGTTCGAGGTATGAGCAATTTTTGAGCATATATCGCCCTCCCAATGCCACGCCTCTTTTACTATGTCACCACATGTTTCATCTCGGAGCCACATTTCTTCAAATCTGTATTTTTTGACTTTTTTCTTCTTTTTTATTTTCCCCACCCCCTCATTAATACACACCAGAATGGGCAGATGATCCGATTTTCTCTTTGATAGATGCATCACAAAAGAACCAGGGAAGATATATTTCCATGCTTTGTAGACTAAAAATCGGTCCAGACGCCCCTGCACATTACGGACACCTCCCTGGTTGTTTGTCCATGTAAAACCGTGGCCTACATATCCCAAGTCCACCAGTTCACAAGCCTCCATTGCATTCCGAAAGTTCTCAGCCTCCTCCATACGAAAATCATGTCCACCCTGTTTCTCACTCGACATTAGCATTAAGTTAAAGTCCCCCCTACAAATCCATGGGATGCTTGATTGACTTCTAAGGCTTTCGAGCAAATTACAAGTCAAGTGCTTTTTTCCAGCTTCTGGGCTGCCATAAATTCCAGTAAATCTCCAACCTTGGGTACCAAGTATCTTTACCCATGAGTCAATATGGTGCAAAGAGTATGACTTAATTTCTACCTCCACTGTGTCCTTCCATAACTAAGCTAGGCCTCCACTACGTTTCCTTCCCTCCCCTTCACAACTAACAGCAAGAAGATTATTTAACTGAAGCTTATTTTTTACCCTCTCCATCTCGAAACTTTTTAGCCTTGTTTCCGATAAAAAATTGATTTGGGGTTTTCAAGCATTACCACATTTTTAACTGCATTTATCGCTGAGGTACTCCCCAAACCTCTACAATTCCATGAGAGGGTGTAATTCATTGATCACCGAGAGCCCACGTTGTTACTACTTTGTTTCTCTAAAAAAAAAATAAAAATAAATAAATAACTGATTTGTATTGCTTGAATTTACTTATTTTTAGCCTAATTTTCATTACTTGATGTATAAATCACTTACTCCCTCTGTTCTTGAAAGTTCGACTCACTTTGCATTTACACTGTTTTCAAAGAACATCTTTGACCATTAATAACTTCGGCTATGTATACGTAAAATTTTAAAAAAGTTTGATATTTGAAAATTTTATCATAAGGGAAATCTAATAAGATCAAACTTATTAATTTATTTTGATTGTATAAATCATAAAATATGATCAAAGTTATTTTATTTTGACCACATGAAATAATAAGTGAGTCGAACTTTCAGAATCAGAAATATTAGTTATCGTGAAAACTATCTTCTATAGTTCATTTTTTCTCCTTACCACTTGCCCAAAATATTAAAAAAAAATAACATTAAGAAAAAAAATGTAATTAATTAAGACGGCTACCTAAGCCAGCACGCTAACATCAGCAGCCCATAAATTGCTAATGTGCTACCCATTATATGGCTAATTGACGATAGGAGGGTAGGAGCCCTAATTTAGACGTAGATAATGAGGCTATGCAAGATAATAATCTACTAATTACATTCAAAGATTATTTAATGGATTAGTGATTCTAATGGAGAATAAATGCACAAAGAACTGATCAAGGATCAGATCGGAGAAAGGTACATGAATATTATTGGTAAAAAGTAGGTCTATGTAAATTTAATACTTTCGCAGTTCTCTTTTACTGAATCTGTTTCTTTTATCACGCTTGTTAATGCAAAACTTTAACGATCAATAACTTTAATTCTCCATAATTAAAAATTGTAAAAGTTATGTATATTATGATAGTACTTATTGAGACGAATTTAAAAAGATCCGACACCAATATATTTTTCATTACATATAATTCTCAAAAAACGGTCAAAGAGAGGTGGTAAATAGTGTAAAAGTCAAAGTGGATCAAGTAAAAAAGAATAGAGGAAGTAATAATTATTTCTTCCTCTATTCTTTTTTACTTGATCCGCTTTGACATATGTTATTCATAATTATTCTTGACGTATGTTATTCACTTACATGAGTCTTGTAATTATAGACCCACGGACTCTTTGAATCAATAAGGTTGGTTGACAAGAGTTGTACTCTAATAAGTCATTATTAGTCATTTTTTTCTTATTACTTCCTCCATTTTATTAATATTGCAACAAAGATGAAATTATGCATCTTAAAGCACATTTTATATGCTAAATATTTATAATTGTGTAAGAGTAAAAATTATAGAAAAGTTGATATTGTGAAAATATTTTATGAGACGAATCCAACAGATCCCACATGACTATATTTTGCTTAACGTATAAATCATATTATATGGTTAAACAAGAATGATGAATAGTGCAAAAAGTCCATTGTTGCAATATTAATAAAACGGATGAAGTATTATGTATACATGGATACAATTAAAGTATAGTATATGATGCTAAAAAAATTATTAATTGGTGCATTGTAGTCAATAAGAAGAAAGTCACGTTAAACATAGCTTTATTTAAACTTTATATATATATATATATATATATATATATATATATATATATATATATATATATATATATATATATATATATATATATATATATATATATATATATATATATATACACGCACATACAATTAATTAAAAGAATCAAATCACTTAATCTGTATTCATATTTGGTACGTACTACTAAGCTAAAAAATTCATGACAAAACTATGCATCATTAAGTTTAGTAGTTGATTAACAATTTTTTGTTTGCATTTTCATTTGTTAAAGGTTGTGTTGACATTTTCCTTAAATAAAAGATAAGCGAGAGAGTGGAAAGGTAGAGAGACATTAAACTGTAGGTTTAGAGAAATAAGTGGTGCAGCATACTTCCGGATTACGCGAGGATTAAGCTGAAACATGCATGGTCCCCTACCTAAAATTGTGATACTTCATATAATTGCAGACATGCTAGGCTAAATTAAGTACATAATTAATTTGTATTTATCTTAGAAACTACCTAAACTGTCATTTGAGCATCATATAAATATAATTAAATTTTGGAACGAA